ATTGATTTCTTAATTTTGGGTTGGAAAAGTGGGGGTCGTCTTGTACATGGGGGCGTCTTATTGATGGAAAAATACGGTATCTTACATTTTCTGGTGAAGGTTAGAGAAAACTATGACAAAGTCCACCAGCAAGTTCAAAGCTAAAATCAGGCATGTCAGAGCAAATTGACAAGCAAGGAGGCAGACAGACAGACATAATATGTAAAATAAATAGCCTAAAAGATGCAGTAAATCATCTTTATGATCTCTTCTGGCAATACGTTGTTAAAAGTGGAGAACAAAAGAAAACCTTGGGAATTTTGATAGGATAAAGCAACAGAAGATGAATGTTCATTGGAGTTGAAGAAAGCTCTGCATAGCAAAATCTTTTTACCTTAATTGCCTTTAGTGTCACCTATACAGCATCACAGTCACTTCCATATAAGGCAGGTTTCTCTAACCTGGAGTTCATCAGGTCTTTTGGGGGCTGAAAATCCCAGAATTCCCAGCAGTGAATACTGGGAATTGCAATTCAAATACATCTAGAGAAAAGCTGCTCAAGGGAGCTAAGCCCTGTGGGTCCTGGCAAAAGTAGATTAATTTATAAAGGAATTTTGTGAAGAAATATAGTTTATTTTGTCATTTCTGTTGAAGGCAAAGGGAGGAACATAATTCATCCTCTTTTCCTTAAAGCATAATAGATCACCAAGACCAGAACAAAATATGGCCAAAGTATGTTTAGGTCAGAAAGCAAAACACTTTTCCTCTCGAACATACCTACTGACAAGATTCATACAGAGTATGAAGCAAGGTCCCAGCACAGAACAACACATTTCTGCAAAAACTTGCCTATCCATTAGAATTTGGGTTTTCAATCATGGCTCTATCCCAAGATTTAAGAAGTGGAAGGGTTGGGCTGTCTATTTCCCACAAATATCCATATTATTCAGGGGTGGGCAGCATGTAGCCAGGGGACCATGTGCCCTCCCTGCACCCTGAACATTATTTGTAATTGTGTTTGTATTTAGTCTTAAGTGAAAAAGAATTGTACTGTGGTGTAATATTAACATTATTTTATAAACAGGGAAGGGAAACATATTTGATAAACATCAACAGTTGGGAATTCCTGCATAAAACAGGGAAGAGAGAGGCTGACTGAAAAACCCTCATTAAACAGAAGCTCAGGTTAACAATGATAGAACGTAAGATGGATATATTAGATTTCTCAAGTGCTAATTGTGCCCTCTTGTGTTAAACTGTTGAAGTATATAGTATAATATTACAACCTATATTCACATTTCAAGTCTACTAAGTTTTCTTTTGCTGTTACTTTGAGGTATAATTATACTATTTCACATTCAAACCTGAGTCTGGGAGCAGAATATTAATGAACTGTCCCCATCAGAAGGCTAATTTTCTTCAAAATCTGTTAGGTGATCAAGTGCTACACATATGAGCCAACCAAACCAAACCAAACCAAAATAATCAAGTACAAGACAAAGAATGTAATTACCCAAAATATTTTTTCTTTTTTTTTCTAATTTTGATTCAATAATCTCTTGTGTCCTGGCTGAAGAAGTCTGAGCAGAGAAATTTAGGTAAACAGGAACGTAGCCGGCTTCATCCTGTATTCTGTTAAGCAACGATCTTGCAACTACAGACTTGGTGAAAGAAAAGGTAAATAAATAACAGAACGTATAATAGATGTAGTAATTCCCTCTAATATTTATAGTACTGCTACATATGTAGCAGAGCACAGAAACCTATGAGCAGTATTACATTTCCCAATCCTATTTCTTCCATTTCTGAGGGCCCACTGCTACAAAAATTTTCAGACGCACATTTTTTCCCCTCTCCCCATTCCCACTAAATAAGGGCCTCAACAAGTCTTCAAAGTGTTTATAAAGCAAGATTTCTTTTCCTTTTTCCTTTTTAGCTTAATTGATTATGTGGTAACCTTTATAATGAAGATGAATAGTGGAGAATTAATTTCCCAAAATGCAGAAATTATGACTCTTCCTGGAATCCTTCACACTCTCCAGAAATTTCCAGAGTTAAGATCAAACTAGATGCAACACTTCTCAAATCACTTGGTGTTGCCAACATATGTGTCCACTGCTCCAGCTGCTTTTGTCAAAATGACAAAAACAGCTTTGCGCCAATTTGCTGCAAGTTCCACCCCTTTGGAATGTTTGTGCCATGCCATGGCACACATTCAAAGGAGGTGTGGCTTGTGTGGCTAATTGCAGAGATGGGGAGAAAAGGGTTGAGTCAGATTGGGACTGTGTATGGAAGGCTACAGATTCGAACTGGGAACAGGATATAAATGGCATTCATAATTGAAAAACAGTGATTAAGCCTGCAGTAGGAAAAAAATGCTCAAGTCTTCTTCTCTACTTATGATGCCTCATCTGGCTCAGAGCCCTTGTGTTGTTATTTCTTAAATAAAGAACAGTCACACAATGCCCAACTGTATGGTAGGAGTCGTAACTAGTTTGGGCCTTATTCAAAGAATGCCTTAATAAACCCTCTTTTAATTTTTTTTAATAAATCCTTGGGAATCTGCTCTTTCATTTTCTTCAAAACCAAATAATTTCAGTATGTAATCAAATAATTCTTACTTTGCCAACTCCAGTTATTCCTGTGAACAGCACTGAATGTTTGACAGCTAGCAATTTTTCCATCAGAAAGCCATAGCGCACAGTGTCAGTGGTAGGAACAAGCATTTCAAAAAAAGGTAGCGTCTGGCTATATTTAAATGTTGGTATAATTCGCTCCCAAGGATCCAAGCGTTTTATATCATAATCAATGTAAACACTCCACAAATCACCAGAAGTTGGAAGCTAGAAGGCAAAACAGTCATGTTAACGTTCTACCAAGGACTAAGAAGAAAGAATGGAACGTATAGGAAAATGGGAAAAGTTCTATTACGGATGTAGGAGTTTTGAATGGTTTTACCCCATAAACTACTCAGAATCTTTGATCCATAAGCCCCTGTCAAAAGTACTAATACATTCTTGGATTCTTCCCTAAATAATGAAGGCAGAGTTTTATTATCTTCAGAATTTACCATAAAAAACCTCTATAGCAGGTATTACAGTATACATTTTGAATCATCAAAGAATCAAGGGTAACTTTATTTATTTCACATGCTTGCCGGTTATATTGCATGGGGTTTACTTAAGCTTTAGTCCAAGGACAAATCTTACAGAGATTAAGAGCTAAAATGCTGTCTACCAGTCCTTCAGAAGATAGAAAACTACATCAATGATGCCATCAAGAGCTATGTCTTTATTTACTGTGAAAGATCTGGAGGGTAAACAGAGTAAAATCATTTGCTTCTCTCTTCTGCCCCCCATTCCCCCCCCCCCCCGAAATCAGCTGCAAGTGCTGGAAGGGGTGGCAGGAAATGGGAGAAGCTGACTTTTTAACAATCTGAGCCTGTCAGCAAACCTGGAAAAGAGGTGGCAGGCACAGATTGGGTGGAAGGGTGTGTGTGTTTTCAGAAGATGAACCAGGAGAGAGAACCAGCCACTTCTCTCTATGCCGCTTTATGGCACAACTTCCGCACCATGCCTATCTGCTGTATTTAGGCTATTTTTAAACAAAGATTTAATGTACTGAAGCTGTGTTTAAAAGTAGCTGATCTAGGATTCTGAACCGCAGATATACTTGGAGACTTCATCATGAGGAACAGCCCAATTTGAAAGATCTGAAATCTCCTGCTGTCTATATTAGAACAGCCCTGGAGAACTGGATCCAGAGACCAAAGAGGAAGAGGGGTGCCTGCACCAACCTAAAGTAGCCAGTAAGTGCCAGACTGTTCATTTGCATACAGGTTGCCTGGCTGCAACACCAACTGAATGATTGGTGAAATGCATCAGTTTGCGTCCATGGCACAACTGCTGTAGCTTGCTGTTTGTTTAAGAAAACACTATTTCAGCACTAGAATACTTTATGATGACTTTAGCTATATCTGGTACAGGCTGGGAAGGAGGTGAAAGCAGATCTTGAGACACAGCAAAAAAAGAGACTGCTGATGCATGGTTAGGTGCAAGTGGGGAAAGGTTGCAAGTAGGGATGTCCAAACTGTATCATTTTGGGGATGGAACGTTCCATTTCCCTCCAGAACATGCCAAATGACTTCTTGATAATGCCATTTCAGGGATGGTTCCCAGATATAAATCCTTCAAAGGAGAAGCAATTCAAGGTGTTCCAGGCTGATCCAGCCCTGAAACAGGCTAGGAAACTGGTCCAGAACACGTTAAACATTTCCAGTTCAGTGGATTTACTTTCAGAAACTGCGGAACCATCTCCAGTTCAAGAGGAGGTTGAGCAAGATCTACAGAGAAAGAACTTTCCAGAGTTCCAGAATGTTCTCTTCCCAAATCTATGAATTTTGTACATTCCTAGCCTAAATATCATTTTAAAGGGATATATGTTCGGGGTATATCTGAATCCAGAAATACTTGTGAAGATCTCTCTTTATAGCTTGAAATAAAGGAAAAAATACTCTTGTTTTATTGCAATGTGATAATGCACAGCATTCCCACAAATGCCACTGTATTACTCCCACAATATATTCCATACCTTGGCATCAGGATTATCCTCGAATTGCTGCCTTACAAATGTATCAAAAGCATCCCAACAGTTCTCAGTTATATTTCCACCCACAGACCACAAATAACAGAAGACAAATGTCTGGCACACGAGAGAATTTAACCGTGATTGTTCCTGTTTATATAGGAAAAGATAATTAGAGTTAGGTGACTACAAACACGAATTTGATAGAAAATAATGTAGGGAAAAAAATCCTTGAGGAATATGAAATTTGTAAATTTAAACTTAATTTCCCTGGGAAATAGCATGCTACTTTACAGAATGCATGCTCCACACATTTTGAGAAGTAAAAATATTTGGTAGATAAAACCATATGCATATCTTATATGCATATGCTATAATATTTAAGAGTCATGCCATTATGGTATGGTGCAACTGCCCAGACTTGCTCTGCAGTGAAATGGGTGCTGACAAAGTTGAAATATAAACAAACAAACAAACAAACAAGCAAATAAATAAATTTAAAAAATGGTTGCTAAACAGGGTAGTCGTTAACCAAGGACTATCTGTATTCCTAAATATTAGCCTGATTTTTCCCATTTTGAGGTGATTAAGAAGTAAAATGGATGCTTTAAGCCGATGTAATCAATTTCACTCATTAACCACCTCCCCTCTGCAAACCAGTCCAATTTTATCATAACATTACCAGCAACAGCCCTCGCAGATCACACACAGAGTAGAAATAGGAAGTATAGTCCTGAGCTGAAGAAATGTTGATTGCCTTTTATTTCCATTTATTGGTAACAGAAGAAACATGCTTAAACAGCTCAGTTTTAGGTTTATTTCTATAGCACCATAGTTGGAAATCTTGAGAAGACCACGCACTAAACTGGAAACAACCCACAGGAGGCATTTGAGAGTGGTGTCAGACAGAAGGGAGGAATCAATAATTACAAGTTCACACTTAATCATAAACCATGGTGCATGTCTCCTGCAAACTTAATCTGAAGAGCTGTCATGAAAATTCAACTGAAATGAGATGAACTGAGAAATTTTAAGAAAAAATGAGTTCTGATAACATCGTCAAAATTTATCTACACATTCACAAGTTTCCAGTAAGTTCTCCTAGAACAAAAATGTCAAGGCATATTTGGAATCTCCTGCTTGGAATACAGGTGGTCCTCATTTAACGACCACTTGTTCAGCGACTGTTCAAACTTATGACTGTGCTGAACAAGGGGTAGTTACAACCGGTCTTTGGAGTTCTGGCCATTACAACATCCCTGCTGTCATGTGATCATGATCTGGGTGCTTGGCACCTGGATTGTGATTAAAATGTTGCAGTGAGCTGTTGCCACATGATCATGATTTCCAACATTCTCTGCCAGCTTCCCACAGCAAAGTCAGTGGGAAAGCTGGCAGGAAGTCAGAAGTTGTGGTCACGTGAGGTCCTCTCTTAACAATGGCAACCAGGACTGCTGTCACCAAGCAACATGGTCACATGATATTGCACTTTATGACCACATTGCTTAGTAATGGTAATTCCAGTCCCAATTGCCATTGTAAACCGTGGACTACCTGTAGTTTCTAAGCAGCAGTATGAGAAGAAGTATAAGTATAAAAATAGAATATACTGAAATATTTGTCTCTGCATTTTGTTTTTCATGGTACACAAACAGAAAGGCTGGGCCAAGCAAGCAGAAGGCCCACAGCTAAGCTCTGTTGGCGCTGGGATCAACTCCATCCCATTGCTAAGCGATGTGGTCATAAAGTGCGACATCATGTGACAGCATCACTTACTGATAATCCCAGCAGTCCCAGTTGCCATTGTAACCCCTGGACTGTGCCAGTCATTAAGTGGGAAAGAGTCCCAGGCAAGGAACGCAGGGGTACCACAGGGGTTGTCACAGACAGATGCTATGGAGCACTGGTGTCAGCCTCCCAAGTAGCCACTCTATGTGGGCGGGGGTTGCTGTGGGTGTGTGTGCGCTACGAAGCATGGGAGGGCATGTGCTATGGAGTGTGGGCAGGCGGGGGATGCTATGGAGTACCAGTTCCTCCACCAGCTCTTCCATGGAAGAAAAAATGGTGGAAGTGACTTACGGGAGGGATTTGCAACCTGCTGGCTTCCCCATTGGCTCTGCTTGTGGGAAGCTGGCAAGGAAGATCGGAAATAGTGATCATGTGACCGCAGCTTGCTGCAACGTCACAATCGTGAGCTGGGCACCTGAGTGCCCAGATTGTGATCACGTGACCGTGGGGGTGCCGCGATGGCTGGAACCTCGAGGATCGGTTGTAAGTCCATTTTTTCAGCACCGCTGTAACTTTGAATGGTCACTGAATGAATGGACGTAAGCCGAGGACTACCTGTAGAATAGAACAATAATAGGGATACGTTAAAGTTTCCTATACTGTTTTTAGACCTATTAAGGCCTCCTATGTAGAAAAAAAGAAAGAACAAACCACACAAACAGTAAAGTAAATAGACATACCAATTTCAAACTGGGTCCTCCCTTTCCAAGAAGCAATGACTCCAATAAGCAGCAAAGAGTAGTAACTTTACTGATGTCCACTTGCAATATAGCTTGGAAACACTTTTTGCGAACATATTTCAGACCATCTTCAACATAACGGGAAAAAAGTTCAAGCAAATATGTTCTTGTTTCTTCATTGAGCTAAACAAAAGTCAACGCACAATTATTGTTTCCTCACCAACTCAGAAAAATGTACAGTTCATAAGAAGAAAGCAAATCTGATATATTAGTGTATATAGTATTGCACTCTAAAGTGCAGCGTCCCTATGCTCAGAGGGAAGATACCAAAGTTTATAGCAATTTTTAAAAGCCAATTCAACTCCCCCAAAGCAAAATGAAAAAGCAGATTATGAAGACTGAGAATCTCCTTCCTTCCTTCCTTCCTTCCTTCCTTCCTTCCTTCCTTCCTTCCTTCCTTCCTCGCTTCCTTCCTTCCTTCCTTCCTCGCTTCCTTCCTTCCTTCCTTCCTCGCTTCCTTCCTTCCTTCCTTCCTCGCTTCCTTCCTTCCTTCCTTCCTCGCTTCCTTCCTTCCTTCCTTCCTCGCTTCCTTCCTTCCTTCCTTCCTCGCTTCCTTCCTTCCTTCCTTCCTCGCTTCCTTCCTTCCTTCCTTCCTCGCTTCCTTCCTTCCTTCCTTCCTCGCTTCCTTCCTTCCTTCCTTCCTCGCTTCCTTCCTTCCTTCCTTCCTCGCTTCCTTCCTTCCTTCCTTCCTCGCTTCCTTCCTTCCTTCCTTCCCTCCCTCCCTCCCTCCGCCCATCTCAAGATTTGGACAGCTTACAACAGTATACAAACATTAAAAATAAATCGGATAGCCATCAGATAAAGCACAGTGATTGCCCAATGTAGCTTAGGCACCAAAAGCATGTTTAAAAAAGAAAAAAAAATCAACATCTATTTGAATGCCAGAAGAAAGAAAGCCAGGTGTACCTCTGGGACCAGTGTATTCCATAAATGCAGGGGCTATAACAAAGGCGGCCTATAATTACTCAGAGAATATTCAATATCAACAAAAATGTACAAAATGCTTACTTTTTATTATGTACTATATAAAACCTACCTTTTCTTCAAGGCCTGCCATCCATGTTTTTACATAGGGGATCCACTTCAGTTCATCTGGGTCAATGTATACCATTCCACATCGGCTTACTGTGGCAGGTGAAGCAACTCTTAAGTCTTCCACCTAAAATTCAATCATACAAGAGTAAAAACAAACAGGAGGGGATCTAGAGTACAGTACTTCTCAACTATAGTAATAACATTAAGGGAAGGTTTATGCTAGCCCTGTAACTGTTGCAAAAAAAAAACCCCAAAACAAAAACCTTCCATTGCTTATAATGGAAAAAAATTACTCCCCATCCTGGAACATGAAGTTATTGGTATTCCCTTCTGGCCCACCAGTTTGAGTCAACAGCACATTGGCTTTCTTCTGCCAGTTCTGGAGACAACACAGAAGACAGTCATATCAATAATTACAAAAACCTAGGCTATGTGTAAATTTAAACCTAGGCTATGTGTAAATTTGTTGTTCAATTCCATAACAATGCAAGCAAGATTTTAGGCTACATCATATTTACTGCCTCACGTAGAAGAAATACAAGAAGCAAAAACTTTGAAAACAGCAATGGATTTCCCCAATGCTAAAATATAAGAGATAAGCTTAGAGCTCATTTTTCCATTTGAATAAGACATAGCAAATAGAGGCATATACTTTTATCCAACTCAAATTAGTTTTGAAGATTTGAACAAATGCTGCTCTTGAGAAAGACACGGTAACATCTCAGTCATACCAGTCATATCCAGTCATACCCTGAATGTAGTAGTAGAAGATCCATTAAAACTAAGAATGTAAATTACCTCAAACATCATATGGATGGATGGTGTGAGTTTGATTCTTTCACTGTTAGCCAAACAAAGCATCTTGTTGTCATCTAGAACCGTGTTCAGATTTTCAATCCATAGTGCATCCACAGGCCCATCACTGATGATCCATTTATGATCTTCAGAGGTGTCAACTACAGCAGCTCGGACACTAAGTGCCATTAAACCATCTTTCCATTCCAGGGTTAAATTGTTAACTTCACCATATAGTTCACCCATAGTTATTGATTTAGGATTCAGAATATAAGTTTTAACTGGCTGGAAAAAATGATATTCCTCACCTGCTTCATATAAAGTTCCAAGCGTATCTGCCAAAATTTGGTAAACTGTAGTTTTTCCACCTCCTGTTGGTCCTACAAGCATGACACCATGCCTTACCAGCATAGTTTCATAAAGTTGAATCACTTTATGAATCATAGTAGATTCAGGCTGCAATCCTTTGGAAAGCATGGTATCTATTATTGTTGACTGCAGCACTCCATAATTATGTTCTGGGATTATGACTCCAGGAAAAAGGTCAGATATAATTCCACTAAAAGAAACAAAGCACAAAAGATTTGCTTATTTATTTACCTTATTGGTACCCCATCATTACCAGTGCAAAATTTAAACTATCAAAGAGAACAATAGCTAAACATTTCACATAGCAAATAAAGGGAGGATTTGAATTTAGTTGTTAATTCCCCTAATTCTCCTTCTCTTTTATTTATTTACTTATTTAATTTATTTAATATCTATTTTTAATTCCATCTCAACCAAGGTGGTGACTGTGGGTGGCGAAGAATTCTAAAACAATTAAAACAATTAAAAACAATACAAAAATAAATATATACAGCAGCTGAGAAAATTATCATAATAATTATCAATATAGCCTAGAGATAGGGCTCTTAACACATTTGGGGCCCCAGGCCCAAGCACATAGCCAGGTCTTTAAAGCCTTACAAAAGGCCAACAGGGTCAGGGCCATCCTAATCTCTGAAGGAAGGATGTTCCAAAGGCAGGAGCTACAGCAGAGAAGGCACATCTCCTGGTCCCCGCCAGCCAACATTCCTTGGCTGATGGGACCCATAGCATGTCCAACCTGCTGGACTGAACTGGACGGGTAGAAAATATTGGGAAAAGACATCCCTCAGGTAACCCAGTCCCAAGCCATGAGGGCTTTGAAGGTGACAATCAGCACCTTGAATTGCACTTGGAAACACACCGGCAACCATGCAGTTCACGCAGTAGTGGTATTATACATGTTGCATATCCGAAACCACTTACTACTTTTGTCCCATCGCTAAACAGAAATGCTGACAGACATGGTTAAATAAAAGCCAAATTGGGGGGGGGGGGGGTTTATTCCCAAACCATGGCTGGTATACAGAAATGGGCATAACTAGCTAGCTGTAAATATTCCAGAGGAAAAATAAGAAGCCCAGATTCAAAGCTTTTAAGCCTAAAATTGCCTTGTACTTGCCTCTTCCGTGAATTCAGCTAAAGCAGTCACGGAAACACATTAGCTAGGATATTAGAGATGACAGCTAGAAACAAGAAATATTCTTATGAAGTCTGGATTTCCAGTTTAGAGGTACTCACTCATCCAGCATTGTCATCAGAAGCATAACTGGACTCTGCAGCTTAGCAAATCTTCATCTGTTTAGCTGATATACTAGTCACGACCCAGCATAAACAGAAGCACTCTTGCTATGGTTATCCAGCTTCTGATAACCTCTTGCCTGGATTATTACAGTACAGTGATCATGGGATTGTCTTTGAAACAACTGTAGACTAATTTCAATCATACAGAATATACTTTAAGATTCTTAACTGGGACCAAGGAATGTAATCAAACTTCATCAGTTCTTTAGCATCTTTATTGGTTTAAAATCAGTTTCTGGATCCAGTTTTAAGTGCTTTTAAATGCCTAAGAGTTTAAGGAAACCATCTGCTTTTATTTTTATATAACTGTGGATCGTATAATGAAATAAAAAGTAATATTTAACTTAAAAAGTACCTGAACAAAACAGCATCATCTGCAAGAAACTTTGGGAGATTGGAATCTCGTAACGCTCTTATTAAAACAACATCTTCATTCAGGTTTGGATTCTCTCTCTTTAGTGATCTAAATTTACAGAAAACAGTATTTTAAGCTTGTACATTAGTATATCAGTTGCATTAGACATATATGTGCATGGCAAGTTTATAAAGGTTTTCTCTAATAATTACAAAATACCTAATTCGTAGTTATCAGTTAAAGATCTGTACTGGATCAGTAGAACAGCTTCTATTATATAGCAGTGTCCTTTCTCCCTGCTAGATGTTTAACACAGTTTCTATTTCATAATCATATACATAACTGCTAATATAGACGAATTAAGCTTCATATAAAAACAAACAGTGGATTATTCTGTTTATTATATACCAAGTTATACATACCTGTCATAAATCATATAAATTTAAAAATATATAGTGGCATTCATTGAAAGCATTATTGCACAAGAAGTTACACATAACCAGAAATAATTTTATTTCCTATACATCTACTGTATAAAGCTTTCCCCTAACAACAGAGGAATGTATCAGCCTCTGCACACTTAGAGCTCTACAAAATTGCTTGCTAAAACAATAGTTCTCGTGAAATTGTACTCCATAGAATATGATATTTTACCCCGCCATGACCAACACAGATTTGACAGCTCTCATTCCAAAATCATAGTGGTCTTGCTGAGAAAGCTGTTCACTACAGAGTTTATACATCTGAGTCATCTTCCTTGCAAGTATTTTACTTGATTCAAATCCTTCAGAATACAGAATAACCTGAAATATAAAAAGCATTCTTACAAAAAACAAATCTTAAGCATAACTAGGTAACTAGTTAAAACTTTCAAATTAAACTGTGGCAATATGCAGTCCACATGTATTATCTGCAGTAATGGTACTGATTGTTTTCTTGCTTATTGTGGGCCCTCAAGCATGCAATACCATCCATCTATGAAGCATTTTAAAATTAGTTTTTTTAATATAAAACCATACATGCTGGATTGTGCAAATTACATAGGAATATATTACAAAAAATACTTCTATTAAATAATAATTACAGTATGTAATATGTCCACATCTACAAAAGCAAAATAGTAAAAAGCATACTGTATAAAAGAAACAACATTATATCTGAAATTATAAAAACTTTTGTGATGAATGAATTGGTTGTTGTTATTTACTTGATTTGAAATTGAACTTCCCAGTATCCATTCTTTGGGCAACTTATTATCACTTGGTAGAAAAAAAGTAAAATAAATTGTTAAATTCATAATTAAAACCTAAAGTTCAAATCCTTAGTTGTGCTCTGGTCCTCTTGTTTAGTGCATATAGTAAATATATTAAATTATTAAACTGTTAAGAAGAGATAATACATTTGATTTTAACTAAAAGGCTAAGAAGCCAATTACAAACCTATTATCTTGCTTAACAAAATAAGCAAGCTACTACGTGCAAAATATCTTTATTTAAAACTATTGTATTGGGTCCAAAGTGAAAATATTCTTGCTGAGGAGCAGGAGTGATCCAGAGGGGATCATTCAGCCTTGAACCATTGTCTAGTCTTGCACCATTTACCCAAAAAATACTCCTCACTACCTAAAGGCCCCCTTTTTGCAAACTTTGTGGATTGCAAATCAGATTTTTAATTGATTCTAAGGGGGAGGCTATGGAAAAAAATACAGGATAAAAGATTACTGCTTACATAGACTCTTTATTCTAATACCTTACTGAGAATTGGATGCTCCCACTCTGGAGCAGTTACCACCCAGAGAGGGGTAACAATCTATATATTAATTCAATAATACAAGAACTCATGTCTTCTGCTCATCACCCTCCAATGTTGGCAGATTGTGCAATTCCAGCTCTACTATATGCAGGCACATAGTAAAAGATCAGGTTAGGGACAGATCACCATGGAGAAAATCTATCTATGTGGTTGCTAAGAGTCAACAGTGACTTAATGGCATGTAATCAATCAATCAAAAATAAATTATCAGAAAACAAAAGTGCTAGTTTTTGCATGACACTGCTATAGGATTCATAAATGGCAAATTAATGGGATCACAACAGAACAGGTGGGTACTTACAAATATCTTGGGGTGCAGTTCCAGTCCTCCTTATCTTGGAGTACACATTTCTTTTATCAGGCCAGTATTGCTTAACATAGCTCCTTAGCTATCTTGAGATATTTCCATTAAAAGAGAGCATATTTCTGCAGCCTGCAAGGTCTTTCTTGCTAAGGCTATTTTTTAGCTTCTTTGTGGTGTTCAGATTTGTACTTTTACAAAGTTTTATATCCTGGAAGCTGTCCAGTTCAAGTTTACAAGAACTATCCTTGCAATTCCAAGATGCATCAAGAATGCTGCTTTACATTTGGGAACAGGTTTGGTTTCCATGGGTGCCAGAACCTGGTACTATCTCATTAATTTCTGGTTAAAAATTTTTTTTTTCTCCATGGGTCTGGCTTCACTGGTTCTCAGAGACCATTTTAAGTCAACTTGCCTAAAAATAGCTAATAGCAAACGATAGTCTTTGGGTCTCTCTTTGGAGAGCCTTTGCTCACTAGGATTTGAAAATGCCAGAAAACATAACCTGGGTATGTGGGATATTTATTATCAAAGTAGTTTAAGCCTAGTATCTAATTTCAACTCCACAGCATGTACATGCCATTGTCCTATCTTTCCTCCATTCCAGTTCTGAAATTTCATTGGGAATTCGCCTTGGCCAGGTTGGCCACAGTATGCCCTGCAGTCTGCGGAATTGTTATAAAAAATTCCCTCTACATTGGTGCTTATGCCCATGTGGAGATGGCTCGGTGGAGTCCCCAAGCCACATGCCCTTCTGCTGCTCTCTTAGCAGGGAATGTTAGATGACATTCATTTATATGAAGAAACACCCTAGTAGAGAGCACTAAAGTTATATGTCACTTTTTCTGTCTGACCAGGTCCCTGATGTATCTTCCCAGGTTGCTTGATTCTGTGCTCTGTTTGTTCTCTTGGTTCCACTTATGACTGAAGAATAGTATTAATCTGATTGCCACTATTATTTGTATTGTTATATTATGTTACTTTACTGTATTTTATGCTTACTTTTTATTTAAATTTATAGATTTTAACTGTATGTTTTTGTATATATGTGGCATACGTATTTGATCTGTGTTTTCTGGCTGTAAGGCCATAATAAAGATGATGATATTAAATTACAAGTCCATATTTATGAGATTCCCTATCAAATGCATTGAAAATGTGCTGTGTTTAAAAATGAAATATTGTATATTAAACTACTTGTTACAAATAAGGCACAATAACCAAAGTTTTAGAAAAGGTGTTATTTTCTGATAGGTATTTACCAGTCACAGACCCAGACTGTATAAAAGAAGATACAGCATATAATACAAAGTACAACATAGCATGCTTGGTAAAAGGGCCTATAATCGTGCTTAGTCTACTTACTACTGCTTAGTGAATGACACACAAATTCTACAGGCTACAAATACAAACTTTGCCACAGCAAGAGTCATCTTGGGATCTTTATTCACTAAAAGAAGCTGCAAATAGAATTCTTCTACTGTATCTGACATATTTTAGAGGGGTGTGTGTGCAAAATGCTTTGTTTTGAAAAACCTGAGCACATTTCACAACTATTCTGCCTTAAGCGCAAACATGCTGCTTCAAACATTTTGGAAACGTTTTGAACTTGAAAAAAATGTTCCAAGCTCAAACCATCATTTCAAGTTCAAACAACTTCCAAAATGCTTTATACAAAATATTTTGCAGTTGAACAGCAGTCTTGCACTCAAAACAGGACATTTTACGTTTTGGAACAAAAGTTTTTGCATACCCAGTCTTGGGTAGGAGAGAATCACTGGTTGCCTTTTGAGTTCCCCAGTTTCTTCTAACTTCACAACAATGTTCTTTGGCTCCCTACTTTTTAGATCTGTTTAGGATTCCTCCTACATGAAAACTTTATCACCAAATAAAAACAATATCAATTTTTTAACTTCACTGATTGCCATTTATAACATATTGCTGTAAGAAAATAACAACCTGGCTTGTTAAATGTTGAAGACTAACACTAATTCCCCTCCCTCCTCCAACTCATGCCATCTTGAATGTTTCAACATTTCTGCAGCATTTATATTGATAGGCATATGCAGTTAAAACACTTTCTGACCTTCTACCTGCAGCCATAATTAGTTTATACACTTCGTCCCCCAAGAGAGTCAATTCTCAAAATTACTCTCCACTTCCTATCATCATCGGCTGAGGGATGGCTTCCAGTGGAAAAGAAGTATTAGGATTTCATTCTGCTTTGAAGCCTGACATCTGCTCTTGACACTCTGGACTGTTTACCCAGAAACAAGGGAAAAATCTCTATGCATATTCGGATGCTGTTTATTAGTTCTCACAAATTCCAGAGCTTAGTTTTGATTCTTGAATGCTTTTTGGCTGATACGGAAGAAATGAACTTCTGCTTCACCACAAATCTGACCTAGCCTGGATTATATTACTTGAAGAAATCCTAAAGATCTTTCTGTGTCATAAGCATATTGTGTGGATCACCAAAAAGGAGTGAAACACCACATGTATTTCAGAAACACTGTAAAGTATTGTTCATAGTAGTACATTAGTTTCTATTATGATTTTTGGTATCCAACTGCAGAGAAAATTTAAAGTGATTAATAGACCAAAGCAGCAATAAAGGAAACTCTCATCAAGCTATCTAAACACACACACACCTGCGTTGTTGAGAAAAATTTAATTTAGACATAACCTCCATTGAATTATTTCATGTGCAATTAAATGTTTTATTGGGTTGTTCAATATTCTGGTTAACTGCTACAACTACATCTGAGTAAGCTTTACGTTATTCCAAGATTTAAAAAACCTTGGAAGTGTCCAACTCAATTTTTTTCCAGAGCTAATCTACATTGTCTCCCATAGTATCTTCCTGACCAATCTGATCTGGCAGGGTTCGCACGCTCCAGGTTCCTACAATTAAACAATGCCATCTATTGGGACCCTGGAAGCATACCTTCTCTGTAGCAGCGCCTGCCTACTGGAATGAGTTTCCCCCCATGAATCAAATGGCCCCCACTCTACTGGTGCTTCTTTGCCCAGGCCTTTGGTAAATGTGACTGAAGCCCTCTTTTCTTCTTTTTCTCCGTTCTCATCTGGGTTATCTTTGCCATCTTTGCTCTTTTTTGTTTTATGTTGTTTTCTTGTTTAAATTTTTTTTTACATTGTGTAAAACACCCAGAGTTGCTGGGAGTCAGGTGGCATATAAATTTAATAAATAAATAAGTAAGTAAGCAAGCAAGTAAGTACAAGATTCACATTATTAACTGGTTCAGGTCTTTGGAGAGGTCAATTTGGCTAGAAATGCTTATCTCTTATTATCCATTCAACCAGACATCCTTTTGAGACAATGCGTATAAATCTATGCTGTAGAGTTGCAGTCATATGATTATGAGTAAACATAGTAGGAAGTACCACAGTCTGTCAAGTACAACTCTCTAAATTACAATTTAGAGTACCACAGTCTGTCAAGTACAACTCTCTAAATTACAATTTTCCCAAAAGAATATGTAACACTGCTGCTACTGGTTTCTTCCCATTTTGTATTATTTGGGGATTACTATTTGGTTTGCCAGTGCAGGAAAGTTCTAAATCATGACAATCGATGTTCTTAACTGCACCTACCTGAACTATTGACCTCAACAAACAGTGTACAAGGCACCTTCAATAGCAACTACCAAAGTCTGTGTGCCTCGGCAAAGAACTTGCAGTGCAAATGCACAGCAGTTTGATCTCTCCTTCATATTTATTTTTTTTAACTTATTCATATTTCAAATTTGTCTCCGCCCATCTCACTGCAGAGCGACTCTGGGCAGTTTACAGTAAAAAGAATAAATATTAATTAAAATAGAATAACTATGAATTAAAATTCATTACAAGAAGAATATACTCCTTACCCTCTTCTTGGGCTCTGTATACTGCTCAAATGTGAACACAGGTACTAGCTCAAGGTGAAGTTCACTAGAAAGTGAGAGTACGTGTGCATATTTCCATTTTTTAAATTTCCAGTTCTAACACTGAACTGGTTTAGATAGGTTGGCTGGGCTGTGGAAAATGTGCAAGCCATTGAATGATGGACCTTTGGCAACTATGTCAACTGCTCCTACTGGCCCTAATAATAGGTATTTAAAAAGTACCTCTGCAATCAAAGCATAGTTTGGAACCATCATAGAAAATGGCCTGAAGAGTGCTTTTAGATTGTCAGGTAATTCTGTTCGTCCAGCATAGCCAGGATTCATAGTAATGAAAGCTGCACAGGTCATGATTAATTTGATTTCACGCCCTTCAAACATAAACCGAGTGAGCTGTTGTGAAAGAAAAAAAAGAAAGCCATTACATTTAAATTTAAATTTAAATTTAAATTCAAATTCAAATTATTCTTTATTTTGGTCATAGATCAGAACATACATGAACATAACTATAGTATAATTATACATAAAACATAAAGTATTAATTTTTATAAAATGTAAAACCATAATATTGTAAACTTATTATAACAATAAAGCAATGTATTTCAAAATTCAAATATCTGGTTCAGCATTACTTATATCCATTATATACATATTCCAGTGTCTAGTGCTGGAAAATAAAAATGAAGCAAGCAGTGTTTCAGAGTCACTCATATCAGATTACGACAGCTAATATCTCCTATATTTTTCATACAGCACCGCAGAGCATAAAGCACTGCATTTCCTACGTATAGGAATTGTTAAGTTATAAAGATACTTAGCTGGTTTAAGCAAGCAATTTATTCTATCTAAATTGTAATAGCGTGGAATGAAAGACACATTTATTTGATGTTCCAACTCATTAACTGTTGTTTTAACACATGGTTTAGCATGCTTAAACCCTAAAGCCAAGAGAAATTGTGGTAAAAAGCCATATGAACTGAATTCTGAGTTTAACCTCTTAGTGATAACACCATACAGAATGGTAGGAATCATTCAGTACCAAAGAACCAAATCTAAAAGAGTCCAGATTTAATTCTAACTAAAAATTAAACATGGCAGCCCAGATCTTTGCCTTGACTTTCAGTAGTAGAGCCTCACGTCTTAAAAGTACATTTGATGTGCATTTGAGGGCTTGAAAAATAGATTTTCAAAATGTGGACTAGACCACATCTAGAAGTAGAATATAGATATATATATTCTGTAAAATAACTGAGAAGGGTTTTTGCTTCAAAGAGCCCTGAATATATTGGGCACCTCTAGTTTGATAAAAACTCAGTATAGCAGCATGCTCTTCTAGGTATTTTGGGATATTACATGTTGTATTCTTTTGGGGCACCAGAATAATGAAAAACAACACTCAAGTATTTGAATCCTTGGCCTTGCTCAATATTTCCCTTGTTTGTAGATCAGCAATGACTTTTTAGTCTTTTTGCAAAACTGGAACTTTTGATGTTTATCTTATTGTTAGTGCTCCACTGAAAATGGCAATGTTCTCCTCAAATGAGTTTCTGTCCTGGAGCAAACAGCAACAATGTCCACATAGAGCACGACTGCTAGTTGTTCATCAGCAGTCTTAGGAGAATGAAAATCATGTCCTATTAATGAATTTTTATAAAAATTGAAGAGTGATAGTGTAAAAATGCTTTCCTGTTTCATTCCTCTTGATACAGGGAGCCATAAGGTGCTAATTAATACTGCATCTACCTATTATATTAAAAAAAAAGGAAATGTAGCTTCTGTTACCTTTGCTGCTTTAGCATTCCTTATTGTAATCAGTTGTTGGGCAATAACAGACAGAACTTCAATATCAATTCGATTGAATTCATCAAAGCAGCACCATGCTCCAGACTGTGCCAAACCACTGAAGAAACGCCCCATCATCTGAAACAATATGTATACATTGTAGTTATGTTGTCTCAAATGTTTATTTTCAAATCAGCTGTAGTTTCAAGTATCAACTCCTAAGGTGCACAATCACAGGGATGCATGCAAGTAGTCCTTGCTTAACGACCACAATAGGGACCAAAAAATTGGTTGTTAAGTGGAGTAGTTGTTAAGCAAGTCACCGTTTGATCAGACCTGATTTTACGACAATTTTTACAATGGTTGTTAAGCAAATCAAAGCTGTTGTTAAGCGAATCACATGGTCATTAAACAAATCACATGGTTGTTAGGCAAATCCAGCTTCCCCAATGGACTTTGGTGCCAGAATTCACTTAACATCTGAACGTGGTATTCTAGTTTAATGGTTATTGTTACATTGCTTTATCCCTCTATTCAAAGAGAAATATGAAGGAGAGGCTCAAAACCAAAATTGTCTATACAACTAAGAGACATGTGTTGGTGCTTTCATGGTTCTTTCCATCTTTCTTGTTCAATGACAACAAGCTTCTTTCCCTGCCATGCTTCAGCACTCCTTTACAGCACTGTACAGCAACCATGCAAGGCTTTTTTTAACTGACTGTGGATGATTTCACTCATAAATTTAGGTAGATGTTAAAAGCATAGTTGCTCTTAGAATCTATGCCAACAGTTCAATAGATGCAATTATTGCGTGACCTAATAGACTTCACTGTCATTCTCCATTCACTTTATGCTAAACTTTGTCCACCCCTTTAGAGACTGTTATTGTTAAACTTTTGTACTGATTGCTAACCAGTGCTAAATATACAAGCAAACTGACAAAACAGTGCCAAGAGTGACTGATGCTCTCTAAGGATTCTCTCTAATTTGCTTCAATTCTTCATCCTTCCAATAATAAAAGACTAGCAAAGCTCGCAAGCTCTTGGACAATGGAGAAAACATACAGGTAAATCAAAGCATGGTGTATTTGGATATTTAAGCAACAGATCTTGGTTTATTCAATAAACCAACATTAAGCATTATGTCTGAACAAAGCTACTGACCTTGCTACAGCCAATATCAAAGGGGCCGAACAGAATGTCATACAATAATCCAATTTTCTGTAATTAATTCTATTAGAGATTTCCCAAGGAATAATTAACATGAGAAATAATTCCTTTAAAATACTATCTTACCAAAGGGCCCTTAAAGTTCAGTTCTCTATAAAGCTATTGTTTTTTTTCTGCATACTTTCCTACCAGCTCTTTTTTTTACTTTTCCATCCTATTCCAGCTAAGGTGTCCAAAACTCAGTTATGCACTGGGTGAAAATGTTCATCTTTGATATTATTACTATGGTTGGTTGCACAGTCAGCCAGATGTTTAGACTGGATTTGGCATTTTTATCCACCTATCGAGTGCTTCCCAAGGACCTGGGAGAGGCGGATGTTGTTGT